AAATATGAGCGTATATTGCAAGCTGGAAATTGGAATAAAAACAAAGCATGTTGTATCGATTTTGCTGTTACTGATGTTTTTAGTGTAGTTCATTGTAGCTAATTAAGACTGGACTGTTTGGACTGTTAATTCATAGTGGATTGTTGATTTTCATTAACGTGGTATGATTGTATTTGGATGATTAGCTTAACTGTTAATGTTAGCAATAGTATACAGGTAGAAGTCGATTTAGATCTTCACTTGTAGTTAGTAATTCGACATTTGAATGGCTGTGAGCATTTAATTAATGACAGCAGTAGTATGAATTTGGACTTGATTAATGTTGAAAACCGAATTTGACTGGGTTGCATGCTCATAAATGTAAAAATCAGATTGACATTGCGATCAAATATGAATTTCATGCGTCTGAATTCGAAGTCAACCGCTTATTGTCCATGCCTAACGACTTAGATGTATAGTCCGGTGTTAATATAGATCGGAAAGATGTCCATGGAATCAAGCTGCTTGCATATGCTAATCTGAACCTTAGTTTTATTTTGGATAAAATTGCCACTAAATCTTGCCCTTGTCGCATTGGGCTTCAACGAACAGACCATGTGAATTTGTGTTTTAAGCCGTTGGATTCGATTCAGTCTCGATTTGGGCCCCTGAGCAGGCCCATTCGATTGATCTTTATCTGAGCCCCATTAAGATTCTCTGTTTAGACTTGGTTTAAAGACCTTAGTTTATAGCTCAATGGAGTATAAATTGGGCTTTCGAGTTAGGTAGCGGTTTTTAAATTAAAAGGTTTTTACCCTTTTGTTTAAATCCGGACTTGAACTTGAAACCCGAATTTCATATTGCCAAGCCCTTTTAGAGACAACAATATAAATAAAGAATCTTAGTTCGCTTTGGATTGGCCTTAAAAAATAATTAAATGAGACGAGCCTTGCCAAACAAAACATATAAAATTGCGTGGCCCTCATTAAATACTAGGTTAAAATATTTTAGAAATCGGATAAGCCATTTAGCAAATTTTCATGGTCTCCCGCAAAGATACCGACACGCTAGTTACTTTAGGCGCGTTATTTAATAATTTACCTTCCTAACTCGGGTGCGCATTTCATGTAACCCAAATCCAAATCCCAAAACGTTGAATAAGAGGTGTTGAGGATCCGGGTACATTTCATGTGACGTGATCCAAAAGCGCGCTCTTAGACGATGTTCACTTTCGTAACAAATAAATTAAAGCGGTAAATAATATTAAAATTGCATTGTAGGTTTGAACATGTATTAAAATTAGAGTTTTAGCCATTTATTATAATTTAAGCGACCGTGCTAGAACCACGGGATCCGGGGGTGCCTAACACCTTCCCTCGGGTCAACAGAATTCCTTATTCAGAATCTCTGGTTCGCAGACTCCAATTGGGAAGTCGAATTTTTCCTCGATTTGGGATTTAAATTAAATCGATGACTTGGGACACCAAAAGCCAATCCTTTCCCAAGTGGCGACTCTAAAACATAAATAAATAATCCCATTTCGAATAATGTCACTTTAAATGGAAAAACTCCCTTATACATTTATCCTTCGGGGTAGGTGTGTAAAAAAGGAGGCGTGACAACTACGTCCACCATTATAAGAAATCTCAGGATATGAATGTTGGAGCTATTTTTATATTTTAAATCAAATTCCTATAAAGGTAAGAAAAGAAAAAGAAAAATGCATGGTAGCTCAAGTTTTTTTACTTTGAATACGGAGTTGCTGAGAAAGTTATTTTATGCTCAAATAAACCACACTGTAAATCTTACATGAATTAGCTTGACAAAGTCTTCATTTTTAGGCAATGAATGTGTATATCTCCGTATGCATACAACTATCGTACGTATTTACACACAAAAAATAAAGATATATACCAGAATGATATACAAAAAGTATATGGAAGTTTTTGTATTGCATAACTTCAAAAATTGAGAAGAAGGATGATGTGACCGATTCAATGTATTCTTGCTCATCTAGAATTTGTATGTTTTTGGAACTTCAAGAATAGGTAGGATATATCTAAATAATACTTAAAAGGGTCAAATAACAATAATGGAACGAATTATAATTATGCTAGATAGTACAAATAAGGAAATTTTATATGAGAAAAAATCTTTTAAAAAAATTTAATTCTGAAGTCCTAAATATTAGAAAAATAATTAAATAACTATTTCGAAATCGTAAGAAAATTAAATTGACTATTTTGTCCTATATGAATTTTTTTTTTTTCTAAAGAGTAAGAAAGACGAATGATATTTCGCTAAGGGGCTTCGTGCTTATAAAATAGTATAGATATTTTTAACAAAAATCAAAGACTACTAAACTTAAAAGGAGTCCTTAGTTGGGGGAAAACAAAAGGAGTACTGACAAAAGTTTGCTACTTTAATAATTTTTCAAACAATGTTTTCTTTATTAATAAAATTTGTTATGTTACGTTATATAAATAAGGAAGGATTTATATAAGATATTTAATATTAAGAATTTGTACATACTTCAAATAAGGAAAGAATTAGTGTACAAATTAAGTTTATTTAAAACTCCTAAATATTAGGCAGAAAACTTAAAATGACATTTTTGTCTAATATAAAATTATTTTAAGGGATAAAAAAAATGAACTTTGTTAAGGACCTTCGTGCTTTTAATACAATATATAATATATATATACACATATATATATATTATATTTACATCATAAAATATTCTACAATTTTAATTAACTCCTTTAGGGAACGTAGCTCTGTCCCTATTTGGACCATAGTACTGAAACTTTTTTTTTTCGGTTCATATATATTTTCGAAAAAGGAAAAATTTAATTAAAATTACGTCTTAACTTTCCTAACTTCCGTTGGTCAAGTCGAACATAGAAGGTTTCAGTCATTTTCACCTGAGAAAACACACAGGGCCCACGAGGAGGATAAAGCGGAAAACGTTGATACTCAAAAGAAGTTTACCGTGCCCGAGCCGCGGAGGCCTGGAACCGAGCCTAGAGGCGGCTATAAATAGCAGTCTATTTTAACCACCACTAACCACCGCACCTCAATCGGCTAACGGCGGCAACGAGGAGGCCCCACCATGAGCGTTTGTCGCGTGCCGCATAGGAGGCTCCTTTTGTACACGTGGCGAAAAAGAAGTTTGAGTAGGCCTTTGAACAAAATATCACTAGTACCTTTTAATTTGCAAATTAATGTTCATTTTAGAACAAACAAAATCGGTATTTCTACCTCAAATTAACATAGAATTTTAAATTAAAAATCTGAATTAAGGAGTATATTAACCAAAATAATTATTTTCCCCTCCAGAGTTTTAGTCTTTTTTTTTTCAAGTAAAATTTATGTATAAATTATAATTTTAACTTAAACAACTTGCCGTTTCAATTTTAATCCAATATTAACTAATTGGTTTTAGGCTCTTATTAGAATAAGAGTTACGAAGTAAATAATTTAGCACGCGTTTACGGTAAATCATTCATTATTATTCATAATTTAATTTAAAAAGTCAAATTAATTGGCAATACATACAGATATAATGAGATGGTATGCTTTAAATATTACGAGATATTACATGTGGGTACTTCCCCAATCAACTTTAGCTTATATTCTTTTTGTTAAAATAGCCTATTTTATGTATAATTTAATTTTTTTCATCTATTAACAGAATATTGAGAAAGACATGCGTTAAAAATCGATTTGAGAGTGATATTCATATTTATCATCACTAATTTAAATATTATTAGATGAATTAAAGTAAAAAATGAAAGACTCTATTACCGGAGTTCTTAAAAGCTTAGAGACTAATAATAAATTTTGTAATTTGCTAAAATTTGTGACAAAATTGATGATTAGAGTTCGTTAGGATTGTCATTTAGAACTTGTTGTTAAAATTTAAAGCTATTCGTAAAAATTTGAGCTATTTAATGATTTATGAGTTAAAATTCGTAGAAGATAAAATCAAGTCTTTGTTTCCAATATTATAATAAGCATGTAGTTTTATATCTTATGTATTACCGTTGAAAAATAATAAACTATGCGGTAATAAATAAAAAATGTCTCCCTTCGTTCACTTTTATTTAATCCAATCAATGATAAAATTTTGATAAAGAGATATAGCAGCACATTTATTAGTGAAAGATTTTGTTTGACGTTTAAACACGGATAAACGTTTTTCTCAGGAAACACACATCAGGTAGGACCCACTCAACCCCCGCCCCCCTGGAGTCTCACACCCTGCCAACTTCTACTCCTATCTCATCTATAAATGCTAACACAAGCCACCTCGCCCATGCCGAAAACGAAGAAAGATAGAAGAGAGCAAAGCCCTGCCGCCACCTACCCCCTCTGACGCTGTGCAGACTCTCTCCTCTTTCCTCTTGCCTTCGTTGCCCTCATCTTCGTTTTATGAACAAAAATCCCTCTCCCACCTATGATTTTGATTCCTTTGTTTCGTTAGATTAAAACTCAATCTCGATTAGCTTGATTAGATAAGGACTACCTTTTTTACGCTTTATCCACCGCCTATCCGCCGCCCTCTCTTCAAACCCTTATTTTTCACGTGATCTGCTCAAAGTCGACTCATCTAATCATTCCAAAAGCCTTCTAAACAACGGATCTGAGATTTCTCTATAACGTTTTTTTTATTCATAAAGATCTGAACTTTTTTGTTTCTTTCCGTAATAACTTAATTCTGTATACAATTTACGGTATTTATATATATACATATCTCTTAAAAAAACTGTAAACAACTGAACCTGGTGGTTTAATATGTCGATTGCTTCGAGTTCTGTGAACAATGGCATGGTTATACCATCGCCGGCAAAGAGTCTGGCGGGCCATCAATTGAATGCTATGCCTTTGGGCAGAGTCGGTGTTGGTCTGGGCAGAACTACTAGGGCCTCTAGAAGTTTAGCTAAGAGGACTACCGGTTTCGATAAGAGGTTTTACGGAGCCAAACTCCGGGCCTCGGGTTCTGAAAGGCTGCACCTTTGGCAATCAGATGGGCCGGGTCAGGCTCCGAAGCTTAAGGTTGTGGTTCGTTCTGCATTGTCTAATGTGCCGGAGAAGCCACTCGGCCTTTACGATCCGTCTTTCGATAAGGACTCTTGTGGCGTTGGGTTTGTGGCTGAACTTTCTGGTGAAAGCAACCGGAAAACGGTAAATCAGAAAACTTTTCAAAAGTATTTGTGATAGTTTTTTTAGTTCTATGGAAATTTTGAATTTTTCAAATTGTTTTTAGGTAACTGATGCTGTTGAGATGTTAGTTCGGATGTCTCATAGAGGCGCGTGTGGTTGTGAGACCAATACTGGAGATGGGGCCGGTATTCTTGTGGCTTTGCCTCATGATTTCTACAAGGAGGTGACTGACATATTTTAACTGATCAGAATTACTGCTACTTAATTTTCAGTTAGTGGAATTTTTTTAACCTCAAGTGATGTTCTTGAAACTTGTTATGAATGGCTAATTTGATGATTTTGTTAGTTGCTTCTTTACTTTTGTACTATTTATGGTTGATCATGTGTGGGTGTATTACCTGAGAGGATGATAGGGGAATCTTAAATGCGAAATAAATAAATAAATAAATATTGCGTTCTTCTAATTATTGGAATTTTATTTTAAATGCTTATAATGTAAAATTACTACTACAGAAATTACAAGAAAGAAACAAGTAGTAACCTGATCAATTTTTTTTCACAAGTAATAATGAAAAGGATATAGTTTTCATCTATATGTTTTTTCCAAGGTGTTTCTAAGACATGTATTTTTATTGGGTATAAAATAATATCACTTGAGAATGACAACAAAAAATAGACTATTAATTCAAAATTTAATACTAAAGTATTTATAGTGATCTCTTAGTTGCAAAATTACCAATTGTGGCTTGAAATCTGATCTAACACTCTATTGTTGCTTGTATCTTCTGTGTAACTGCCTCAGGTAGCAAGTGAGGTGGGATTTGAGCTACCACCACCTGGCCAGTATGCAGTTGGGATGTTCTTCCTACCTACCTCAGAAAGCAGAAGGGAGCAAAGCAAAATTGTATTTACAAAGGTGAAATCCATCTCCTGCTCTATTTGATGCTTTTGATGACAGATTTATGCAGGTGAATTTCTTTATTACGTATTCTGACTTTTTTTTTTGAATATTTGTGCTTCGGCAGGTGGCTGAGTCGCTCGGTCATACAGTTCTTGGATGGCGTCCAGTCCCTACAGATAATTCAGGGCTGGGCAAGTCTGCATTGCAGACAGAACCTGTCATTGAGCAAGTGTTTCTGACACCAACTCCTCGGTCGAAGGTCGACTTTGAGCGTCAGGTAGTTGTCTGTTACTGAAGTCGTATATTTGTCTTAGTATTTCCCTATCAATTATTGTTCATCATCGGTTTTGAATCCGTTCCCCCTGCAGATGTATATTTTGAGGAGGGTTTCAATGGTAGCTATCCGAGCTGCTTTAAACCTCCAACATGGTGGCGTGAGAGATTTCTATATATGCTCTCTTTCTTCAAGGTTTGTTCCTCAAGACTCAGAATACATCACTATTTGCTGTGGTGCTGTGGCTAACTTTATATTTTATAATCTTAATGCGCAGGACTATTGTTTACAAAGGTCAGTTGAAGCCTAATCAGTTGAAGGAATACTACTATGCAGATTTGGGCAATGAAAGGTTTACGAGCTACATGGCCCTGGTAAATATTTTATCCATTCTCTTTTAATTTGTACACTGACTCCATACTTCAACAACGAACAGCATTGGATCAACCAGTAAACTGAAGAGATGCAAGGTTGAGGAATGACTTCTGAGGCATTGAAGTATGAATGATCTCTTAAGTTCTTCCACTCCCTTGATCACAATTTGAATTTGGATGCCAGTGGGACTCTTTGGTGAGTTGGTAAGGAAACTCATTACCAAGTAAATAATGTTTACAGAAACTTGGTGCCCTCGTCTCTGCCATCTGTTCTTAACGAGAAAATATCCACTTAAATCTTGTGGAGGAATTTGTGTGTGCTCAAGGTTAGATTAGGGCTCAAGGTGCTGTGTCCTGTCATTGCCACAATCTTCAAAGTGCCAGAACTCAATTACCATTGCATCTGGAAGACATATCTCAGCAGCTCCATATTTTTTTTCCTTTTGTCGTATTGGATCTTCCAAATGTAAATTTTTGGGGTTTTCTGGTACAGGTGCATTCTAGGTTCTCTACAAATACCTTTCCTAGTTGGGATCGTGCTCAGCCTATGCGTGTTTTGGGTCATAACGGGGAAATTAACACACTTCGAGGCAACGTGAACTGGTAAGTTTCCTGCGGAGTTACTTTTCTGGTATAATATGTGCAGAGCTTAATATAATTCATTTAAGATTGATCTCCCGAATGAAAAGGTATTTTAGATGATTTAGTTTCCATTTGAAAATTGAAAAGAGGATTCACTGAACCTTGTAAAATGCGAATTGAGAGGATAAGGGGTCAACAGTAGTTGCTGCAGGTCAGTGATGTTCTTTTCCACATTACACTAGTGGAGGGATGCACATGATTGAATCCTTCCTTTTGCATCAAATATCTTCTTTTGTTCCCCTTCAATTCTGGAGTAACATGTTGACTGCAAATCGACTAGCATGCTCTTCCCAGAAGCGAAGGAAGATTCTTAAATAGGATTAAGTTATTTGACAGTTGTTCCATTGTATCTTGTTGATTTGTCTGCATTGATATTTTGTTTGAAACGTCATTCTTTTGTCTATTCAGGATGAGGGCTCGTGAAGGTCTTCTTAAATGCAAAGAGCTTGGCCTTTCAAAGGCAGAAATGAAAAAGCTCTTGCCCATTGTTGATGCCAGTTCATCTGATTCAGGTTTTTGTACTACCTTTCTGCACCTCAAAGCAGTCAATATCTGAACATGCTGGGATCAACTTTCCTACTAGCAGATATTTGTCTTGATTGACCCATATTTGTACTACCTTTCTGCACCTCAAAGCAGTCAATATCTGAACATGCTGGGATCAACTTTCCTACTAGCAGATATTTGTCTTGATTGTCCCATATCTGATTTTGATCTCCATTTTTCAGGAGCTTTTGACGGTGTACTTGAGCTTCTGCTTCGAGCTGGTAGAAGCCTTCCTGAAGCTGTAATGATGATGATTCCTGAAGCCTGGCAAAATGACAAGAACATGGATCCTAACCGGAAAGCATTGTATGAGTATTTTTCAGCTCTCATGGAACCATGGGATGGACCTGCCCTTATATCATGTAATGGACTTCAAGGAATTAACTGGTTTCTTATATGAGGTTTTTCTTTGTGGCATTTGCTTAATGTGGACATTGCCTTGCAGTTACTGATGGGCGCTATCTTGGAGCTACATTAGATCGGAATGGTCTGCGTCCAGGCCGCTTTTATGTCACATACAGTGGCAGGGTTGTTATGGCAAGTGAAGTTGGAGTAGTTGATATTCCACCTGAAGATGTATGCAGAAAAGGTCGACTAAACCCTGGAATGATGCTTCTGGTGGACTTTGAGAACCATGTTGTTGTAGATGATGAAGCTTTGAAGCAGCAGTACTCTCTTGCAAGACCTTATGGGCAGTGGCTTAAAAGGCAAAAGATAGAGCTGAAAGACATTGTTGAGTCTGTAAATAAATCCTACAGGGTCCCTCCACCCATTGCCGGAGTTTCGCCTGTGAGCACCGTGTCTCATACTAATTTAATTCCTCTAAATCTTTATTTTTGGTCTTCTCTTTTCTGCTGTTAATTGTGCCTGTTTGTTATTAGTTGGTTCTTTTAAGTTCCTCTTAACTTATCAGTCTATTCTTCTACAATTTTAGGCGTTAAATGATGATGACAATATGGAAAATATGGGGCTTCATGGTTTATTGGCTCCATTAAAGGCCTTTGGGTATGTTTCTTTTGCCACTTTCCCCAGAATTTTGTGACAACATGTATTAAGTATTTAATCGCCGACCTATTTATGCAGTTACACTGTGGAGTCCTTAGAAATGCTGCTACTCCCAATGGCAAAAGATGGTGTCGAGGCTCTTGGTTCAATGGGAAATGATGCTCCATTAGCAGTGATGTCTAATAGAGAGAAACTTACATTTGAGTATTTCAAGCAGATGTTTGCTCAAGTCACAAACCCTCCTATTGACCCTATAAGGGAAAAAATTGTTACCTCTATGGAATGTATGATTGGTCCTGAAGGAGATCTTACAGAGACCACTGAAGAACAGTGTCACCGCCTCTCACTCAAGGGACCTCTTTTGTCCATTGAAGAAATGGAAGCTGTGAAAAAGATGAACTACAGAGGGTGGCGCAGTAAGGTTCTTGATATTACCTTCTCCCGAGACCGTGGTACGAAGGGTCTAGAGGAGACCTTAGATAGGATCTGCTCTGAATCGCACAACGCGATTCAGGAGGGTTATACAACAATTATTCTTTCTGACAGAGGTACCAATCTTTACAGAGAGCTATTTAATTTTTCTTAAAATAAAAAGTATGTCATTCCTTTGTACGTGGTTTTTATCTCTGTTATCGATATGGCATTAATATTTACTTATTAACCTTCTTAGCCTTCTCGCCAAAGCGTGTTGCTGTGAGCTCTTTATTGGCTGTTGGTGCTGTCCATCATCATTTAGTTAAAAAGCTTGAGCGGACTCGTGTTGCACTGATTGTTGAATCTGCTGAGCCACGAGAAGTACACCATTTCTGTACATTGGTAGGATTTGGTGCTGATGCTATCTGCCCTTATTTGGCCGTAGAAGCTATATGGAGACTACAGGTTGATGGAAAAATCCCACCAAAGTCAACTGGTGAGTTCCATTCCAAGGATGAGCTTGTCAAGAAATACTTCAAAGCAAGTCATTATGGCATGCAGAAGGTTCTTGCAAAAATGGGCATATCAACATTGGCATCGTACAAGGGCGCTCAGATTTTTGAGGCAGTTGGCCTTTCGTCAGAAGTGATGGAGCGGTGTTTCAAAGGAACCCCTAGCAGAGTGGAGGGTGCAACTTTTGATGCACTTGCAAAGGATGCACTCAAGCTGCATGAACTAGCGTTCCCATCACGAGCCTTGGCTCCAGGGAGTGCAGAGGCTGTGGCACTCCCTAATCCTGGTGATTACCATTGGAGAAAAGGTGGTGAGATTCACCTTAATGATCCACTTGCCATCGCAAAATTGCAGGAGGCTGCGCGAACTAATAGTGTAGCTGCCTACAAAGAATATTCTAAGCGTGTGCAGGAATTAAATAGACAATGCAATTTAAGGGGACTTTTGAAGTTTAAAGAGGCAGAGGTGAAAGTTCCTCTGGAAGAAGTTGAACCAGCAAGTGAGATTGTAAAACGTTTTGTTACTGGAGCCATGAGTTATGGATCAATCTCTTTGGAGGCACATGCTACTCTTGCTATGGCAATGAATAAAATTGGGGGCAAATCTAACACAGGTATGTTTTACTGGATTGTTTTATTTTTGATGACCGAGAAATCAGTCTGGAGGCCAACCACAGCGTTAAAAAACTTGGGGATGATGAGTCCGCCACTCTTACCTTTCTCCACTTAAATACTGTGGTTAGTTCACTTGGTGCATGGTTCTAACTTTGTGATCTAAGACACAAGTCCTTCAACCTTTGCTAATTGAGCTAACCCCTGTGGAGCTGCTTAAGTGGAGTGTTGACAGTGATCTTTCTCTTGTGAGGCTACCATTTTTTACCCCTTTGGAGCTGAAATTCTTTTGACTGTAAAATGAAAGCTGTACCTACTTTTGGACAGGTGAGGGTGGTGAGCAACCATCTCGGATGGAGCCTCTTCCTAATGGTTCAATGAATCCAAAAAGAAGTGCAATTAAGCAGGTTGCAAGTGGTAGATTTGGAGTCTCAAGTTATTACCTCACAAATGCGGACGAGCTACAGATAAAAATGGCTCAGGTACTCTTTACATGCGCATTGCAATATATTTCATTCACGGTTATTTCCTTCATCAACATGTTTGTATTAAATGTTGATCCATTCCTATTAGATCCTGTATTCCAGTTGGAATAGAGGTTTCTCTTGTTTATGAATTTATGTTCATGGACAGATGATGCTGCATCTGCAAGGCACCTATAGGTGTCTTTGCCTCATTAACTGAAACCTGCATTTGGCATTTGGTGAGATAAATGTGAACAGTCAAGTTTTCTGTTACGCATTGGATACATCTATTCACATCCCTTTCTATTTTGCAGGGAGCCAAGCCTGGAGAAGGGGGTGAACTTCCTGGACACAAGGTCATTGGTGACATAGCTGTCACTAGGAACTCCACAGCTGGAGTTGGACTAATTAGTCCTCCTCCTCATCATGATATCTACTCTATTGAGGATCTTGCGCAGTTGATTCATGATCTTAAGGTATTAAAATCTCGTGTATTTGCACTGTGCATCTTTCTTTCTTTATTATTCATTGATCCTGAGATATTGCCCTAATTCCTATAGAATGCAAATCCCGGGGCACGTGTAAGTGTCAAGTTGGTTTCTGAAGCTGGCGTGGGGGTTATTGCTAGCGGTGTTGTCAAGGGACATGCTGATCATGTCTTGATCTCCGGTCATGATGGAGGCACGGGTGCCTCAAGATGGACTGGTATCAAGAGTGCCGGTCTTCCATGGGAACTTGGTCTTGCAGAGACGCATCAAACTTTAGTGGCTAATGACCTTCGTGGCCGAACAACACTGCAAACAGATGGCCAATTGAAAACTGGAAGAGATGTGGCTGTTGCTGCTCTTCTTGGTGCAGAGGAGTTTGGTTTCAGCACTGCTCCCCTCATAACACTCGGCTGCATAATGATGAGAAAATGCCACAAAAACACTTGCCCTGTGGGAATTGCCACTCAAGATCCAATTCTTCGGGAGAAGTTTGCTGGAGAACCAGAACATGTCATAAATTTCTTCTTCATGCTGGCTGAGGAAGTAAGAGAAATTATGTCTCAGCTTGGTTTTAGAACACTTACTGAAATGGTTGGCCGTTCAGACATGCTTGAACTGGATAAAGATTTAACCAAGAACAATGACAAACTAAAGAACATCGATCTGTCCCTACTGCTTCGACCTGCTGCTGATATCCGTCCTGAAGCTGCCCAATATTGTGTTCAGAAACAGGATCATGGTTTAGACATGGCTTTAGATAACAATTTGATAGCCCTTTCCAAAGCTGCTTTGGAGAAAAGTCTTCCTGTATATATTGAAACTCCAATCTGTAATGTAAACCGCGCTGTCGGAACAATGCTAAGCCATGAAGTTACCAAGCGATATCACCTTGCAGGACTCCCTGCAGACACCATTCATATCAAACTTAGTGGAAGTGCAGGGCAGAGTCTGGGAGCTTTTCTTTGCCCTGGCATCACGTTAGAGCTTGAAGGAGACAGCAATGATTATGTTGGTAAAGGTTTGTCAGGGGGGAAAATCATTGTCTATCCTCCAAAAGAAAGCAAGTTTGACCCCAAGGAAAATATTGTGATTGGAAATGTAGCTCTTTACGGGGCAACAACTGGGGAGGCATATTTTAATGGGATGGCAGCAGAAAGATTTTGTGTCCGTAACTCAGGGGCCAAAGCTGTTGTAGAAGGTGTTGGTGATCATGGCTGTGAGTACATGACTGGTGGTACAGTTGTTGTCCTCGGAAAAACTGGAAGAAACTTTGCTGCTGGTATGAGTGGTGGCGTTGCCTATGTTCTTGATGTGGATTCAAAGTTCCGATCTCGTTGCAATTCAGAGCTGGTTGATCTTGATAAAGTTGAAGAAGAAGATGATATCATGACTTTGAAGATGATGATACAGCAACATCAGCGTAACACAAACAGCCAACTGGCAAAAGATGTTCTTGCAGACTTTGATAATCTTTTGCCTAGATTTATTAAGGTCTTCCCTAGAGATTATAAACGGGTTCTGGCAAGCATGAAAAAAGAGGAAGCTAACAAAGCAGCAAATGATCGTGCCATCAAGGAAGCGGAGGAGCAAGAAGAGGCAGATTTGAAGGAGAAAGATGCCTTTGAAGAGCTGAAGAAATTAGCAGCTGCGTCTAAGGACCAATCCAGTCAGGTTAGTTCATTTATTAAGTTTCTGAAGGAGCTGCCTTGGAATTCCTGTATTATTTCATCATATTCCTGAGAAGATTCTATTTTTTCTATAGATGTAGCTAAGGGACCTTGTGGCATATATATATATAAATAGGACTATCAATCTTTGCACTTATGATTTAGGAAGATTTGTTCATTTTGTAGTGTCTGCATTTCTATATATTAGATAGAAACCTGACTTGTTTAATTGCTTTATTGGCCTTTGCCGGCGCATTTGAGTATTTAGTTGCTGTAAGACGCTTTACAATATGTTTTTCAACTTTACATATGCACTTTTGGTCTTTTACAGGTTGAAGAGGAAAAAACATTGAAGAGGCCCACCGAAGTTGCTGATGCAATCAAGCATCGAGGTTTTGTTGCTTATGAGCGACAGGGCGTGTCATACAGGGATCCAGATGTTCGGATGAGGGACTGGAAAGAGGTTATGGAAGAGTCAAAACCCAGTCCACTCCTTAAGACACAGTCTGCGCGCTGCATGGACTGTGGAACTCCTTTTTGTCATCAGGTAATATTAATGCTGAAATGTGTAGTGATTAATGCACAATATGAATACAAGCCGCCAAAATCTGATTTGATTACGTCATGAAAAATCTGTTGCAGGAGAACTCTGGGTGTCCTCTTGGAAACAAAATACCAGAATTCAATGAGTTAGTGTATCAAAACAGGTGGCGTGAAGCACTGGATAGGCTTCTTGAGACAAACAACTTTCCTGAGTTCACTGGTCGGGTGTGTCCTGCACCTTGTGAAGGGTCTTGTGTGCTTGGTATCATTGAGAATCCTGTTTCTATTAAGAGCATTGAATGTGCCATTATCGACAAAGCTTTTGAGGAAGGGTGGATGGTGCCACGACCTCCTTCTGAGAGAACTGGGTAAGCATTTCATCACTTGCTTGTACTGTACTGTTCCAAACCCTTGCCCCCACCATTCTACATATGCCTGTTTTTATTTTTCTTTGGAGGTGCTCCTTTTTCTCATTTCCAATTGCTCCTGGTAACTGACTCTTTGCAGCTACTAAGTTGATATTCTTTCAGCGTGTCCACTGTCAGCAAGCATATTTTTTCAGCAAAAAGTTGTGCTTTTACGGATTATGTAGATGTTTCATTCTAAGAGTAGTTAAGCTTTGATAGACCGACATCTACACTCTACCGTACATAACATCGATAGCTCATGTTCTAATTGTCCTCATTCTCACAGGAAAAGAGTCGCAATTGTCGGGAGTGGACCCTCAGGCCTGGCTGCTGCTGATCAGTTAAATAGAAAGGGTCATACTGTAACCGTGTTTGAACGTGCTGATAGAATCGGTGGTCTGATGATGTATGGAGTGCCCAACATGAAGACCGACAAGATTGATGTCGTTCAGAGGCGGGTTGACCTTATGGAGAAGGAAGGGGTGAAATTTGTGGTCAATGCAAATGTTGGAAATGATCCCGTCTACTCCTTGGAGCGGCTTCGTGAAGATCACGATGCAATTGTTTTGGCTGTTGGAGCCACAAAGCCAAGGTGAGTACCATCGATTGCATTGCATCGCTTTTGGTTCATTGTGCTTTCTGAATAAGTAATTGCTCACTCAAACTACTTGACTCATTGGTAGGGACCTTCCTGTTCCTGGACGAGACCTCTCAGGAGTTCATTTTGCAATGGAGTTCCTTCACGCAAACACAAAAAGTTTGCTTGATAGCAATCTCCAGGATGGAAAATACATTTCTGCCAAGGGCAAGAAGGTGGTTGTTATTGGTGGAGGTGACACTGGGACAGATTGCATAGGAACGTCTATTCGGCATGGCTGCAGCAGTGTTGTTAATCTAGAGCTTCTCCCTCAGCCGCCACAAACTAGGGCTCCTGGAAATCCTTGGCCACAGGTTTGATCATGTTTTATGTGGCAATGCACCTTACTCTTTCCCATGCATAGTTAGTCACTTCAATTAGCACACTAGCACCTTACTGTTATTATCATGGCAAATGCACCTTACATATTACTGTGTATAGTAGTCACTTCAATTAGCGTGGTTGCTTTATGTTTATCATGTGCATGATGGGCAATTCAGGAGCAATATGATGTTTTGTCAGCTTAAATTAGAAGGAGCTGCTCTTTTTGTACTTTCAGAGGAAGTTTCTAGAATTGGCTTTATAGTCTGAGTTAGGATTATAAAGTGATCATTGAACTTTTATTAACATTTTCTTTATTAACTTCCTGAATGTCAATGTGATATGTCCTTCCCTTTCTTTTTGGCAGTGGCCTCGTATTTTCCGTGTAGATTATGGGCATCAGGAAGCTGCTGCAAAGTTTGGTAAGGATCCGAGATCCTATGAGGTATTGACCAAGCGTTTCATTGGAGATGAGAATGGAAATGTGAAAGGGTTGGAGGTCATCCGTGTACAGTGGGAGAAAGATGCTAGTGGAAGATTCCAATTCAAAGAAGTAGAAGGCTCTGAAGAAATTATCGGAGCCGATCTGGTTATGCTAGCTATGGGGTTCCTTGGTCCTGAATCGGTTAGTATCTTGTGATTTCCATTTTCATTTATTCATTTTTTTGCTCTAATGAAATTCAATTAATATTGAATGGTTATTCTTGTGTTTGATCTTTGTTCAGACAATAGCAGACAGACTGGGACTAGAAAAGGACAACAGGTCTAACTTCAAGGCTGATTATGGACACTTTTCTACAAGTGTGGAAGGGGTGTTTGCAGCAGGAGACTGTCGCAGGGGACAGTCTTTGGTGGTGTGGGCCATCTCCGAAGGGCGGCAAGCAGCTGCTCAAGTTGACAAGTTTCTCATGAAGGATGACGAGGACGACTTCACTGTTGATGTGGCTAGCCAACAAGAACTTGTCAAAAAGCAACAAGATAGCAGCAAGCAGCAGACAGTCGTGACATAAGACACTTGCAAAAGCAAATGAATAAAGGACACTGTGGGGAGGCTGGTTTAGGGATTTTCCTTCAAATGATATCCAAATCCAAGAATAGAAGCACAGAGTAAATCAATAGCAGCTCAGTTTGAATATAGGATAGGATAGTTGATATTTTCTGATTCTTGGGAGTTTGAGGGGTGGGGGTGGTGGGATAGTATTTGTTTTTTTTTGGCTGCATGTTGGGTGTCGATAAAGTTTATTATTGCCGTGTTGGTTGTTTGGAGGGTAGCTCCAGCACAGGCTTAGTGGAAAAAATAACATGTACAGTTCTCGTTTGTGCAAAATTTCCTTTGAAATTAATATTATGGGGGATTATTTCTAGTTTTTGCTGGTCCTGCACTTTAAGTTAACAGTATTTTGTCGATGCAACACTCTTCAGAGCATTCACATACACAGAAAAATCTGTTGTGAATTCATTCACTGTGTTACAGTTCTGTTTTCATATATTTATTAGACTTTTGAGACAAACATAGCAATTGCAATAAAGTAGTTGGACGGAGGTCCCAAACAATGTTAGAGTGACATTTTGCTCACACGAATAGTATAGTGTCAAATTTTTTTTGACGGAGAATTTTAGTTAGTTATTTTCAACCGACTGCATTTTACAAGTATGAAAAATTAATGCTTATTCTCTTAAATAAACAAAAGGAATATAGTAAGAGAGAAGATCATTTATAGCCCATCGGCCCAAACATATATCACCCGGTAGCCCTAATATTGCAATATCATTTTATAGCACAAAAGCAATTCTAGTGGCTAGCCCAAAAGTAATTACGGCTCAATCTACTATCCCTATCCCTATCCTTGCCCCGTTCTCTTCTATCATCTCGATCGGTTGCCTCTCTCTCTGTAATTAGCCATTGATTTCTCCATATACTGTAAGAACCCAAACAACATCCCTTTTTATCAATTTTATTAAGGGGTCGTTTAGTAGATTAAATAAGAATAGCATTAGTAACAATCCTTCCACTTTTTTCTTTTTTTTTTTTTCTTTTTTTTTTCTTTTTCTTTCTTAAATGCTTTCACCGGAGCATTCTATGTTTGCCGGTGGAGCTGGTGAAAGCGGTGTCGGTGAGTATAATCGGCGGCTAAAAAGAGGCGATGATGATTTTGTCATTTCGTTCTGAGCTTATTAATCAATCGGGGAATTTTGAGATAACCCGACCCGTATCTTGGCGGGGCATGCTCCCAGTGGGTTTTTGCAGCCATGGCGTCGTTGGATTCTCTTTTTTTGCCTGTGGTTAAACACAAATCTGAGCCTCAATTTCTTGTTACTCTCTCTGTTTCATTTTACGTACAATGAGGCTATGATAATTTTTGATTTTCTCTTCTGTGGAAGATGAATCAAACATATTTTACGTATTAAAGTATGTTTCTGAAAGTGATAATTGGAAACAAAATACATACTAAACAGACTATCACTATACAAAAAATATAAAAAATAGACTGTGATTATACAAAATATATACTAAATAGACTGTCATTATACAAAATAGACTGTCATTATACAAAAAATATACAACATAGACTATAACTATACAATTTATATACAATAGATTGTCACTATACAAAATATATACAAAATAGACTGTCACTATACCAAAATAGACTGTTACTATACAAAAAATATACAAAATAGACTGTCACTATGCAAAAAATATACAAAAATAGACTGTTATTATACAAAAAATATACAAAAATAGACATTTCGTATATGACCTGCATTGCATATTTCATTCAATTCTTAGCTAATACTTATCAGATCCAGAAGTACAAAATACAATTTAAAAAGGCAAAAAAGGGTTGCTCTATCGAGCCAGGTAGGGGTCGAACCCACGACCTTAGCTTAGGAAGCAGATGCTCTATCCACTGAGCTACAAGCACTTATGTTGTCATGTTCATTCCTTTCGGCTACTATATGCAATATGTTTGGGCCGAAGGGCCATTTTTTGTAAGTGGGACAAAACATGGGCTATTAAAATTTTGAGGGGCTATAGAGGGTAGTTTTCTCATATAGTAAACTAGTGAGATGGAGAAACAAAAGGTGGTTTTTATCCCTTACGAATTCTACATATTTTGAGTCATATTCTTACTAGAGATGGTTAATAATCTTTCCTTAATAAGACTTTGTTAATGAATGGAACTTCTAAGTTCTAACAATTGTAGAGGTGGATGTATATACTTTGTTAAGGTAAAGCGCTTAAATCCTACTTATATTTGAAGCTTCTATATATCTATATAATTGAGGCCCTAAGAGAGGTGATGTGGCTTTCTCTAAAGCCAGAATTTCTATTTATCTTTTACCTTAACTTTTTTTTTTTTTTGCTTTTCACCCATTTTCCATATCTATATGCTATTTAAAAAAACTCCAAAAGTCATCTCATTAATTTCTACATAATTGCACCTATTCACTGCTATAATCCTCATCCTAAAAGTCACTATTAAAGACAACGTTACTCTAACCTTTCCTAATTGGATCTCATGCTTCTTCTTTGGTGTTTCGTCTTATAAATGTATCGATCACCAGGTTTGTTCTTTTAATGAAATATATCATTTTATAAATATATTCAATTTTGCAATCTTACTGATCCATCACTTTTGTTTCATCCCCTTAGAATTGAGTCAACTTCTCATAATTCAATCATCTTCTTGATTGAGCCTCTTCCAATACCACCTTCAAATTTCCTTTTCACCATGTCATTTACCTATTATATAGACCTTTGCTTCTCAATATGGGCCCATCATCCCTCCTCAATAGTATGCATCTCAAATTTTAGTGTATGATAATGAATTGATGGATCGCTTCCCTTTGGATAGCAAGGGGATATGCACAGGATCGTCCTTCTACTAATAAGTGAAGGAAAGAACTCACATATTTTAGTGCTCGCGAAGATCTTTTTTTTTCATTTAACTTTCACTTACTCTCCTCTAGTTCTTTTTTTTTTTTCCTTTTAATTATTATGGGTTTTCTTCTATATTTTCATGGTGGTACTTGTGTTTCGGATTCAAAAGTCAAGATATGATCTTCTTCCTTGACTGATTGGTTTCCAGTGGAGGCTAAGATTCCAGTATATATTTGTATGTCTGTGTTTCACTGAGTTTATATGCTCACTCAACGGAATATTGAGTGGCTACTGATACTCAATTGTAGAGTATCGATAAACCAATGAAACAGTAACAAAAAGAAGAGAAAAGAGGTACAAGAGAAGAGAATGAAGCAGAGATAGAGAGAGAGGAGAGTGAGAAGAGCTCAGATTTTCTTATAACATAATAATTGTGTGAATTACAAATGCTATGCTCTATTTATATGTGCTGGAATTTGATATACAACAAAAGGAATTACAGAATTTGATATAAAACTCCTAACTACTTTTTCCACCACTTTAGCTCAACTAAAATTCAAATGGTTCCACCTTTAGCCACTAATATTCGTATCAATACCCCCTGGATGAACAACACCCTTGTCCTCAAGGGTGAAGGAAGGAAATCGAGCTTTCAAAGCATAAGCGAACTCCCAGGTTGCATAAGAAGAATCTAAGCCTGTCCATATAATCAAGCACTGAGCTACAAACCTATTACCTCGTTTAACTAATTTGCGATCAAGAACAGCTTCGGGAGAGGGGCAATATTGGCTGGCTAAATTAACAACAGGAGGGTGAATAATGGTGGAAGGAATTTCATAACAAAATTTCAGTTGAGACACATGAAATGTAGGATGCAATAAGACCTCAGGAGGAAGAAGGAACTTATAGGCTACTGCACCTATCTTTTCAACAATAGTGTAGGGACCAAAGTATCTCGAAGTGAGCTTGTGGTAAGGGAAGGGAGAGAGTGTGGACTGTCTATAAGATTGGAGTTTGACGAAGACCCAATCCCCCACTTTGAACTGTTTATCAGACCTATGGGCATTAACATGGGCTTGCATTCTTTGTTGGGCTCGAGTAAGGTAGAATTTGGCTAGCTGAAGTTTGAACTTGCGAAGCAGTGGAACCTTTTCAATAGAAGTAGAAGCAGAATGACCTGGTAAGTATGTAAGATGAAGAGGAGGAGGGTATCCATACAAGAGTTCAAAAGGGGAGGTTTGAATGGTAGAGTGAGAGCTAGTGTTGTACCACCATTCAACCAAGGAGAGGAAAAAGGACCAGTCTGTAGGTGAATCTGTGCAGAAGCAGCGTGGGTATGTTTCTAAGCAACGATTAAGTACTTGTGATTGGCCATCTGTTTGTGGGTGATAAGCAGTAGAAGTTTGTAAAGTAACACCCTGAGCAGTAAGGAATTCCTTCCGGAAGGTGCTAATAAATATAGGGTCCCGGTCACTTGTGATTGAAGCTGGGAAACCATGAAGCTTGAAAATGTTATCTGAGAAAATAGGGACTAAAGATTAGGCTGTGTAGGGGTGAGACAAGGCATGGAAGTGAGCATGTTCGGTAAGCCGATCAATTATTACCCAAATGACTGACTTCCCTTTAGACTTAGGTAAGCCCTCAATGAAGTCCATATTAATGTCAGTCCAAAAAAGAGTAGGGATATGTAGAGGCTGCAAAAGGCTAAGAGAAGCAGCAATATCGTACTTGTTTCTCTGACAGATAGTACACTTGTGAATGAAATTCACAATGTCATTTCGAATACCCTGCCAATAGAAATAAGAGAGAAGCTTCCTTGTAGTAACATCAATGTGAGAATGCCCACCAGCAGGAGAAGAATGCCAAAAGTGTGAGAATCTTAGTTCCTAGAGCAGCATCATTGCCAACCAAGAGTTTGCCCTTTCTTCTAAGCCGCTGATTAATCCAGGTAAATTGCTTCTGTGGAGTGTGTTAGAGAGAAGCAATGAGGTTAGCAAGCTCAAGATGTGCATACCAGCTATCGTGAATTTTCCTTCCAAAGATCAGCCTGCATAGAACTCATAAGTAAGGACATGAACTCTAGATATGCATCGGCAACTATGTTTTCTTTTCCCCGTTTGTACTGAACTTCAAAGTCAAAGGGAAGAAGTTTCGCCAACCACCTGATCTGAGTGTCAGTGTGAAGTTTCTGCTCTAAGAGGTACTTTAGGGCCTTTTGATTAGTGTCGTGCCCCTTTTTCTCGCGAAATCGGGCTTCGACATGTGACAACTCTTTTAAGGAAGTATTAAAAGAGGAGAGTCGCCACCTAATGATTTTTAAGGTGCGTTAGGGCACCTATTTGAAAATGACTCTGGTTTAACTAGTCTGCATCGCCAAAGATCGGGTAAGGGCTCAAGTTACCTCAAGGAGAAGGTGTTAGGCACTCCTCGAGGTCCACAACTGTGGGTCCCGGACGAACTTAAATTATATGGATTAGTCTA